CACAGACGTCCTTGAAGACAGGCAGGAGGACTTTGAGTGCTTTGCAGCTGCTGTGCCTCATCTCGTGTCCATGCTGATTGCACCTGAGGGGAACCCGGATGCACCAAACATCCCGATCCCGCGCTCTTACGCAGAGGCGATAGAGGGTCCCTACTCCTCTCAGTGGCAGAAAGTCATGGACGCAGAGATGGCATCCTGGAAGTCCACAGGCACGTACGTCGACGAGGTTCTCCCACCTGGGGCGAACATCGTCAATGGCATGTGGATTTTCATGGTGAAGCGGCCGCCGGGTTCTCCGCCTGTCTTCAAGGCGCGTTACGTTGCACGAGGCTTCAGTTAGCGACAGGGAGTTGACTTCTTCCAGACCTTCTCCCCTACCCCGAAGATGACCACTCTTCGGGTTCTGCTGCACGTCGCCGCTCAGCGTGACTACGAGCTTCGCTCTCTTGACTTCAGCACTGCTTTCCTACAGGGCAGCCTGCATGAGGAGATCTGAATGCGCCGCCCACCTGACTTCACTGGGTGGTATCCTGCAGGTACCCAGTTGAGCCTCCGGCGGCCAGTCTACTGTCTCTGCCAGGCGCCTCGCGAGTGGCACGACACACTGAGGACTACGCTTGCGGCTCTTGGGTTTGCTCCTTTGACTGCTGACCCGTCGCTGTTTCTGCGCACCGACACTTCGTTGCCGCCGTTCTACATCCTCGTGTACGTCGACGACTTGGTCTTTGCTACTGCTGACACTGCTGGACTGGCCCACGTGAAGTCGGAGCTGCAGAAGAGACATACGTGCACAGACCTGGATGAGCTGCGCAGCTATCTTGGCTTGCAGATCACCCGGGATAGAGCAAAGTGCACCATTACCTTGACTAAGTCACACATGGTGCAGCAGGTCCTTCAGCGCTTTGACCTGCAGTACTCCTTGCCACAGTCCACTCCTCTGGCTACCGGTCACTCGCTCTCAGCTCTGCCTTCGGATGAGTCCGTAGAGCCGAGTGGCACGTGTCCAGAGCTTGTGGGCTGCCTCATGTACCTGATGACCTGCACTCGACCTGACCTTGCTTACCCTCTTAGCATCCTGGCACGCTACGTTGCGCCCGGGAGACACCGACCAGAGCACTGGAAGGCCGCTAAGAGGGTGATGCGCTACTTGTGCAGTACGTCGGGCATGGGGCTCGTGCTTGGAGGACGGGCTCGAGTTGTCCTCACTGGTCACGCAGACGCTTCTTTGGTTGACGACTTGGCTACGCAGCGGTCATCACAGGGTTACACCTTCAGCCTTGGCTCCGGCTCCGTTTCGTGGCGGTCTACCCGCTCGTCTTCTGTTCTCAGCTCCGGTTGTGAGGCTGAGATCTATGCAAGGGACATGGCTGCACAGGAGTTACGCTGGCTCACCTACCTGCTGACCGACTTGGGAGAGCTGCCTCATTCTCCTCCAGTTCTGTACGTCGACAACAAGGCCATGATTGCCTTGTGTCAGGAGCACAGACTGGAGCACAGAACGAAGCACATCGCTCTCCGCTACTTCCTTGCTCAAGAGTTGCAGCAGCGTGGTCAGCTACGACTTGTTTACGTGGCTTTTCAGGCCAACACTGCTGTTATCTTCACCAAGGCACTTCAGCCTTGTGATCATCAGCGTTTCTGTACTGTTCTAGGCCTTGTGCCTACTTTGCCTCACTTGCTCACTTCTTGACTTTGCCTGTACTGTGATCTATATACTTGTACCTGCACGCTTGCACTTGCTAGGTTGTGATCACTGTACTGCTTGTTCTCCTTTATATGTATAACTCTGCATGTAAACTGGCCTTGTGGCCACTTGCTTGTACTCATACTACGTGGTGACTTCGTGATCGACCCTGAGCTTGCTTTGTTTTGTCGTTTCTCTTGACTGGTCTTGTGACCGTTGCTTTCTCTGGCTATCCCCCATTTCGCCTATGGGGGTGTGTCAAAACATATATGCTTATGTTGTTTAGGCTCTATGGGTGTTAGCATTTTGTCTAATGGTGACACAATTTGCCTGGATTCCTTTCGCCTTGACTAGTGCATCTACAGGAAATTCTTTCCAACAAAAAACACATTTGCTGACACCAACAAAGCAAACCATCTACATGCATAACCTAAGCTATTTTGCTAATTGTTTTTCTGCTTGTGCTTCTATCATTGATAAGGTTACATGCACCTCTTTCATCATTCCCCTCCAATCATTCCTTCTCCCTTTCATCCTTCACAACAAGCCAAGTACTACAAATATGGCTCACTTGACACAGTTTGGGTGGCTTGGCGCATGGTGGTGTGCTTATACGGAGGGGGAGTGAGCAACGACGAGAAGGCAGCAGTAGTGGCACGTGGCAAAGGCTTAGCGCTGCTTATAGTGAATGTGATGCCGGTTGATGATGCGTCATTCACCCGATACAGCACCCTCCCTGCAATGACTCTCTTCCCTCCTAACGATGCGATTCTGAACGAGTACCTGCTGACAGCAAGGTATGCGATGTGTGCAATTTTCTGTCATGTGGCACGGATTGTAGTACTATGCTGGCTTTCAGAAATACAAGCATCTGAAGCTCCCTTCATCTCCCTGCCTACCTCCTTGTCCCCCATCCCCACTTTTGAACATTTTCATTTTTCATTCCCCATTTTTGAACACGCCCTTTCTTTTTCATTTATTTCAGTTTATCACTGAAACTTCCCCTCCTTCCATGGGTCTTTCCCAAACACTTCTTTTCAACCCACCCCCCAGCCCCACAGGCACCATGTCATATGGTTTCACTCAAAACACCGGTGGTGCCGCGGCAACCATGGCCTATTTCTCTTCCATCGGCCCTCTCGTCCTCCCCTCCACCGTTCCTCCTCCCTCGTTCCCCACCAACGACATCTTAAAGCCCGATATCATCGCCCCGGGCTATAACCTCTGGGGCGCTGCACCCGGGACGTCCCCCGGGGCAGCTATGTCGACCGCTACTAAGGCTTTAATGAGTGGGACGTCTATGGCTACACCACAAGTTGCAGGGATTGCGGCGCTTATTATGCAGAATAGGACCGATTGGACGCCGACGCAGGTCATGTCGGCACTTATGACAAGAACAACAAGGGCGTGGCGATCAAGAGTTACAACAATACTGCAGCCACACCGTGGCAAATGGGAGCTGGACACGTGGACGCGAGCAAGGTGCTGAACCCGGGCCTTACGTACAGTTTGACTGGGCAGGATTTCTACAACTTTTTGGCCGGGCAAAATCTGACAATTGCACTGTCATTGGTTGCAGCTGGTACTGTTCTGACACCGATCCCTGCTTACAACCTCAACCGGCCGACGATTTCCGTAGGACGGCTTACAGGGAGTCTGACTGTAACAAGAACGGTGACGAGTGTGGGGAGTGCAGTGTCAACTTACAACGCTACTGTAGTGACTCCCACCGGGGTTACCATAGTGGTTACGCCAAAGTCCTTCACAATTGCTCCTTGCGGGTCGGTGACGTTCAACGTAACGTTCAAGGTGGTACCGCGTACAATGATTTCAGGTACGGGAGTCTGACGTGGAACGATGGAAAGAGTGTGGTTCAGGGGTTTTTTTATAAGGGTAAATTACTCTGTTTCTCTGAAAATCAGAGTGGTTTTTAGGGGGTCACTCTGATGTGTCTGGGTAATTTTTTTGGAAGATAAGTTTTCTCTGATTTGTCAGGGTTCTGATTTTAGTTACTCTGAGAGACCAGTGTATATTTGTGGCGAATGTATTTTTCTCTGTGCGCGCCGTAGCAGCGAAGTGCACGCCGTAGCAGCGAAGTCCGGGCAAAGAGCAGTGAAATCCGCCACGTAACAGTGAAATCCGCGCCGTAGCAGCGAAATCCGCGCCGCGGCGGAGGGATCAGCGCCCAGGCAGCTATACTCGCGCGTAGGAGCGCCATCGCAGTGAGGCTCGCGCCTAGGCAGCGACTACCGCGTGTAGGGAGGACCACAAAGCGAGACCCGCGCCTAGGTACCAACACCTGCAGGTAGGAGCGTCCAGCGTATAGGGGAGTCTCCGTGCGCCAGCGACGCCCAACACCTTCGACTCACCCGGACTGCGAACCTTATATCAAAGGCGGGAGGCGCCCCTCCAGCGCTCCCCGCAAACAGCTTACGCCATGAACAACGATCCAGAACCCCCAGACCGGGGGAGGAAGATCATCGCGAGGATTGGCCACAAGAGACCCAGGGAGGCAGCGCCGACTATGCAATACCCACAACTCTGTCGCCTCCACCACGAGGATGCACTCTGCCTTTTTGGCAAGCCCAGCAAGCGACAAAGGTATGGACCCCTCTCGACAGAGGGGGGGATAGAGGAACCACCCGAAGACACTCTCGACGGCTTTGTAGGCGGCAGCGACACCATCTCCAGCCGGGACCTGGACGTGACGGACGAGGGCGAGTGCGGTCATGGGGTGCACATGCAAGGTACTGGTGATGACACGGCGATGGCTGCATGGGAGGCACACCGCCGGCGATTGCAGGAGTCTCATGATAGGCGGCGGAGGGCCCTGGGAAATCCTTTGGCACGCCCAGCCCTCACAGCTCCGCGCGGGCCTCGCCTGGCCCAAAGGCAGGAACAGAGACGGAGAGCCCGGCCGGAAGTGCAGCAGCGGAGTCCAGCGGGGACCCAGCCCTCGAGGCAGGAGGGGGGGCAGCAGAATTGGCTGTTGGGGGAGGCCCGGAAGCCACAAGCAAGGGAGCAGCAGGTGCTGCCGGCGAGAGGGCAGCAGGAGCTGCCGGCGAGAGGGCAGCAGGAGGTGCCGGCTGGAGGGCAGCAAGTGGTAGAAGTGGAGATGGCCGAGCTACAGCCAGAGGTGCAGCAGGACCAATCGGGGAACCGGGCCCGGCCACACGCAGGAGGGCAGCAGGAGCCGCCCGGGGAAGAGCAGCAGGAGCTGCCAAGGGAAGAGCAGCAGGAGCTGCCAAGGGAAGAGCAGCAGGAGCTGCCGGCAAGGGAGCAGCAAGCAAGGGAGAAGCAAGCGGTAGAAGTGGAGATGGCCGAGCTACAGCCAGAGGCACAGCAGGACCAATCGGGAAACCAGGCCTGGCCACAGGCAGGAGGGCAGCAGGGGCCGCCCGGGGGAGAGCAGCATGAGCTGCCAAGGGAAGAGCAGCAGAAGCCGCCGGGGGTGGGGCAGCTGCCGGCAAGGGAGCAGCAAGCGGTGGATGTGGAGATGGCCGAGCTACTGCCAGAGGTGCAGCAGGACCAATCAGGGAACCAGGCCCGGCTGCAGGCAGGAGGGCAGCAGGAGCTGCCGGGGGAGGAGCGGCAGGAGCTGCCAACAGGAGGGCAGCTGGAGCTGTCGGGGGGAGGGCAGCAGGAGCTGTCGGAGGGGGAGCGGCGGGAGCTGCCGGCGCGGGGGCAGCTGGAGGTCGCTAGTGCGGACTCTACAAGCCAAGCGAAGAGAACCCGGGCACGGGGCCGAGGCGGGAGACGACACGCCCGTAAGACGCAAGGGCGAACTGGAAGCGGTGCTGCCGCACAGCAGGCGGAGGGGCAGCCGGGGGCGACCGAGACACCCCCGGGAGTTCCGCGGGTGGGGGGGCAGCCCTGGGTCCCCGGGGCGCCCCAAGGAGAGCAGCAGGCAGGGGGGCAGCCGGGGGTGACCGGAGCACCCCAGGGAGAGCAACAGGCAGGAGGGCAGCCGAGGGTGCCCAGGGCACCCCAGGGAGTGCAGCAGGCAGGGGGGCAGCCGGGGGTGCACCCCAGGGAGTGCAGCAGGCAGGAGGGCAGCCGAGGGTGCCCGGGGCACCCCAGGGAGCGCAGCAGGCAGGAGGGCAGCCGAGGGTGCCCGGGGCACCCCAGGGAGCGCAGCAGGCAGGAGGGCAGCCGAGGGTGCCCGGGGCACCCCAGGGAGTGCAGCAGGCAGGAGGGCAGCAGGGGGTGCCCGGGGCACCCCAGGGAGTGCAGCAGGCAGGAGGGCAGCCGAGGGTGCCCGTAGCACCCCAGGGAGTGCAACAGTCAGGGGGGCAGCCGGGGGTGCCCGGGGCACCCCAGGGAGTGCAGCAGGCAGGAGGGCAGCCGAGGGTGCCCGGGGCGCCCCAGGGAGTGCAGCAGGCAGGAGGGCAGCCGAGGGTGCCCGGGGCACCCCAGGGAGTGCAGCAGGCAGGAGGGCAGCCGAGGGTGACCGGAGCACCCCAGGGAGTGCAACAGTCAGGGGGGCAGCCAGGGGTGCCCGGGGCACCCCAGGGAGTGCGGCAGGCAGGAGGGTAGCCGAGGGTGCCCGGGGCACCCCAGGGAGTGCAGCAGGCAGGAGGGCAGCCGGGGGTGACCGGAGCACCCCATGGAGTGCAGCAGGCAGGAGAGCAGCCGCGGGTGCCCGGGGAACCCCAGGGTGTGCAGCAGGCAGGAGGGCAGCCGAGGGTGCCCGGGGCACCCCAGGGAGTGCAGCAGGCAGGGGGGCAGCCGGGGGTGCCCGGAGCACCCCAGGGAGTGCAGCAGGCAGGGGGGCAGCCGAGGTTGCCCGGGGCACCCCAGGGAGTGCAGCAGGCAGGGGGGCAGCCGGGGGTGCCCGGGGCACCCCCGGGAGTACGGCAGGCAGGAGGGCAGCCGAGGGTGCCCGGGGAACCCCAGGGAGTGCAGCAGGCAGGAGGGCAGCCGAGGGTGCCCGGGGCACCCCAGGGAGTGCAGCGGGCAGGTGGGGAGCCGGGGGTGCCCGGAGCACCCCAGGGAGTGCAGCAAGCAGGAGGGCAGCCGGGGGTGCCCGGGGCATCCCAGGGAGTGCAGCAGGCAGGAGGGAAGCCGAGGGTGCCCGGGGCACCCCAGGGAGTGCAGCAGGCAGGAGGGCAGCCGAGGGTGCCCGGGGCACCCCAGGGAGTGCAGCAGGTAGGAGGGCAGCCGAGGATGCCTGGAGCACCCCAGGGAGAACAGCAGGCTGGGGGGCAGCCGGGAGTGACCGGAGCACCCCAGGGAGAGCAGCAGCTAGGGGGGCAGCCGGGGGTGACCCGAGCACCTCAGGGCGAGCAGCAGGCAGGGGAGCAGCCGGGGGTGACCGGAGCACCCCAGGGAGTGCAGCAGGCAGGAGGGCAGCCGATGGTGCCCGGGGAACCCCAGGGAGTGCAGCAGGCAGGAGGGCAGGGAGTGCAGCAGGCAGGAGGGCAGCCGAGGGTGCCCGGAGCACCCCAGGGAGAGCAGCAGGCAGGGGGGCAGCCGGGGGTGACCGGGGCACCCCAGGGAGCGCAGCAGCCAGGGGGGCAGCCGAGGGTGCCCTGGGCACCCCAAGGAGCGCAGCAAGCAGGGGGGCGATCGATGGACGACCAGGAGCAACAGTTGGAGGAGTGGTGTTGACTTTTGGAGCTTGATACCCCCATGGTGACTGCGGAGGAGTCAGAGGCGGACGAAGAACCTCCCATGCTGCCTTCCCCATGCCCCCGCTTTCTGTGCGACACGTGTTTCCACACTTTCGCTACGCGGGGGGCCGCTGCGAACCACATGAGGGTATGCCGAGCGGCTGAGGCGGAGAGGCGTGCACAGGCTCTCGGCTCCATTCTGTCTCTGGTGGAGACCGACACGCAGGAGCGATCGACGCCGCGGGAATTCGGGGACGAGGCGTGGGCTGGGGTTACGTCATGGGAATGGGAATCATTTTTCAGTGTGGAGGCGGTTGGAGGGAGGACCGTGCGCCGGATCCCACAGCGGGCCAGGTCGGGGGTCTTAGACGCGCTCTGTTGCATCCTTAAGCGCTTGAAGAGCCAGCCGGGAGATGAAGCCGCTACCCTCCTACTCTTGGCGTTTCCGCGCCTCATCCTAGCCATGCCTCCCAAGCCAGGCATAGGTCAGAATGCGCTGATCACAGAGCGGTTGGGTGCGTTCTGGGAGGGGAGGTGGCGGGAGCTGCTCGACTCTGCCATGGTGGCGGCGCGGCCAGCAGTTCGCCCACTTTCCTACACTTGCTCTGACCAGGACCCGGATGCCATCCGCCTGTCACGGTGCCGATCTCGGTGCAAAGTGGGGGAGTGGAGACGAGGATTGGCCTGCCTTACAGCAGGGGAGTTGGCTCGACCGTCTGAGGTCATGGTGCAGTCGCTGCGAGAGAAGCACCCGGCTAGCGCTGGCGAGGTACCACAGTGGGTCCGCGATTTCACCATCGATACTGCTCAGCGGCCTTCACTCACGACCGACATCCTGGCCAGAGCTATCCATACAGCCGCTCGAGCTTCAGCAGCAGGGCCATCGGGGTGGGTCACAGAGCATCTGCGCGACACCTTCCTCACTGAACCTTCCTGCCTTTCCCACCTGTTAGAAGTGTTCAACCAATGGGTGGCGGGACAGGTCCCCGAGTGGGCTCGGCCATGGCTCGCCGCATCCAACCTAATCGGGCTTTCCAAGCCTAACGGCGACGTCCGGCCGGTGGCGATCGGGGAGGTGCTTCCTCGTATCCTTGCTCGAGCTCTCTGCATCTCGCTCCGCCCTGCGATGGTTTCCTACTTCCTGCCGTGCAACCAGCTGGGAGCGGGCACCAGGGTCGGGGCGGAGATTCTCACTCATTCTTTCCGGTCAGCGCTGGCCACTCACCCCGACTGGTGTGCGCTACAGATAGACGTCGCAAACGCCTTCAATTCGTTTCACCGTCATGTGATGTTCGATGGGCTGCGGGAGTCGCCTTTCTCAGGGATGATCCCATTCTTGCGTGTCTTTTATGGGACACCTAACGACCTGTACCTCCGAGCAGGCCCTTTCGTACAGAGCCTCGAGTCAACACGGAGATCAAGGCAGGGGGACCCGCTCCGCCCTTTTCTTTTCGCGTTCACGCAGCAGCAGGTGATGGAGCCGGTTACTAGGGAGTTCAAGGACCTGCTTTTCCTCAGCTATGCAGACGATACCCATATTTTGGGGCCAGCGGCTAGGATTCTGGAGGCTTTTGGGGTGCTGCGGGAGCGGTTGGAGTGGGTGGGGCTGGAGGTGCAGGCGCACAAGTGGCGGTTTTGGGAGCGCGAGGGCAAGGAGGTGGAGCGGGCACTGCCATTGGGGATGCAGCGGGTGGATGAGGGTCTTATTGTGGTGGGCGTGCCTATTGGGGAGGAGGTTTGGGAGGTGATCCGGCTACGGGAGCGGCTTCGACAGTTGCAGGCGCCATTGCCATGGCTCCCCTTGCTCGACCACCCCCAGATGGCTTCACACCTCCTCGCCATTGCAGTTTCAGCGCGGCCGATGTACCTCGCCCGGACTATGCCGCCGCGTCCGGAGGTGGTTGAGGCTTTTAGGGATTGGGACAGCTGTTTAGAGGATTGCTTTGAGCAGCTTTTCCCACCTGGCACTTGGGAGCAGGACCCCGACCGGTCTAGGCGCGCACGCATGCAGCTGCATCTCCCTGTGCGTCTCGGAGGGTTTGGGATCCGGGCGGCAGCCTCTTTGAGCCCACTGTCCTATATTTGTGGGCGGGCGCAGGCCGCGCCTGACATTGCACAGTTAGGGGTGGCGGGTGAGGAGGCGATGTTTGCAGAGTACCTCACCACTTCGACAGGGGCAGAGTTTCTTGACCCGTGGTTTGTCAAGGCTCTTGAGCAGCTGCCAGCGACTATCCGCCACGAGATACCGGGCTTACCTCTGTGTGTAGCGGCCCCTCCTGTTCGGCTTTTCCAGGCGCGGCAGCGGCAGTTAGCTGTAGAGGAGCTCCAGGCACTGCGCCGCTTGGCTCGTGACGATGCTACCTTGGCCCGTTTCACACGGGGGCAGGTGCATGGGTTTCGGCGGTTCCGGCTCACTCAGATCTCACATTCACTGCGGCTGAGTGGGGCATTGCTGCTGCTATATGGCTCGGCCTCCCAATTCAGCAGCTACAGGTGGCGGGGAGGTGTTTTTGTGGCACAGCGTATGTTGACCCAGCAGATCCGCACCATGCCCTGAGATGCAGGCACCAGCATGGTCCATCTCGGGTGCATGATGAGGTGAAGTTTGCGGTGGCGAAGATCTCTAAGGCGTCGGGGGGGGTGGTGACAAGGGAGGATAGTGTGGTGCTGCAGGGGAAGCGGGTTGATGTGGCGGTGCGACGTCCAATGGCTGGAGAGGCTCACGCCCTAGAGATCAGCGTCGCGGACCCGCTATCGCTGTCTCCATCACTGCTGGGACAGTGCGGGCGTCAAATAGGTGTGGCGGCAAGGGAGTGGGAGCGTCGCAAAACGAGTGATTACGCGCCTCTGCTTGCACGCAACCGGGGCGTGCAGTTCACCCCTTTGATAGTTGAGACGTGGGGGTGTCTCGGCGGTCGTTTTCAGTGTCAAATGTTATGTCTACTACAGTTTGTTTAGGCTGTAGTGGGGTAGTTACTATGGGGTACAGTAAGTTTAGGGTTTCCTACTTGTACCCAACTCTTTCCTAGTGCAATCACTCTTGTTCATTCTGACATGGTATCACGAGCCTAGGTTGCCACCTAGGACCGCTTACTACTACGGGCCCACTATTCCGCTAGAAGCGCCCTCGTGCGCCCTACCTTACGTGCGCCCTCGTGCGCCTTTCTCTGCTCGTGCGCCCTCGTGCGCCCCCCCTTTTTTTTTTTTTTTTTTTGCGCCCTCGCGCGCCCCGGCCTTAGTTCTGCGTGCGCGCCGTCCTGCAGCCCTCGCACTGCCTCCTGCTGCCCTAGGCCAGTGCGCCGCCCCTGCAAGCTAGTAGGGCCCTCGAGCCGCCCCTGCAGGCCCGTCAGGCCCCCGAGCCGCCTCTGCAGGCCCGTTAGGCCCCTGAGCCGCCTTTGCAGGCCCGTCAGGCCCGAGAGCCGCCCCTGCAGGCCCGTCAGGTCGGCGCGCTGCCCCTGCAGGACCACGCCGCCCGCGCGCAGCTTCTGCCCGACCGCGCGCCGCCCCTGCAGGCCCTCGCCACCCGCACGCAGCCTCTGCAGGCCCGTCAGACCAGCACGCGACCCCGTCGGGTCGCAGTCGCGGCCCCGTCAGGCCGCAGTCGCGGCCCCGTCAGGCCGCAGTCGCGGCCCCGTCAGGCCGCAGTCGCGGCCCCGTCAGGCCGCAGTCGCGGCCCCGCCCTGCCGTGACGCGGCCCCGCCAGCCCTGCAGGTGACGCAGCCACGCCCTCTTGCTGACGCGGCCGCGCCCAGCTGCTGACGCGGCGTCGCCCCTGCCCGCCGCGTTGCCCTGCTCGCCGCGTCGCCCCTGCCCGCGGCGTCGCCCCTGCCCGCCGCGTCGCTCTGCTCGCCGTGTCGCCCCTGCCCGCCGCATCGCCCTGCCCTACCCCGCGCCGGGCCCCTGGAGCAGCCGCCCCTGGAGCAGCCGCCCCTGCAGCAGCCGCCCCTGGAGCAGCCGCCCCTGGAGCAGCCGCCCCTGCAGCAGCCGCCCCTGACCCCTGAAGCGGCCGCCCCTGCAGCAGCCGCCCCTGGCCACTGGAGCGGCCGCCCCTGCAGCAGCCGCCCCTGGCCACTGGAGCAGCCGCCACTGCAGGAGCCGCCCCTGGCCCCTGGAGCAGCCGCCCCTGGAGCAGCCGCCCCTAGCCCCTGGAGCAGCCGCCACTGCAGCAGCCGCCCCTGGCCCCTGGAGCAGCCGCACCTGCAGCCGCCCCTGGTCCCTGGAGCGGCCGCCCCTGCAGTAGCTGCCCCTGGCCACTGGAGCAGCCGCCACTGCAGGAGCTGCCCCTGGCCCCTGGAGCAGCCGCCCCTGCAGCAGCGACCGTCGCGGCCCTGTCCCTGCCCTGCACCAGCTGCCGCGGAGCTTCCTGCCGCGGTCGCGGCCCCGCCCTGCCGCTGTAGCGGCCCCGCAGTCGCCTCCGTCGTGCGCCTGCCCTTCCCACCACTGGTGAGCACTGCCCTGCCCCTGCTATTACTGCTACTGCTGCTCCTGCTGCTCCTGCTTCTACTACTGCTCCTGGCTTGGCCAGATGCAGCTCCAGGGCCGTCCGCGTGTGTCCCTCACGCCCCAGCAGCTTCGTGAGTGGTACGCCAGTTGGGGTTGTCGGGGTGGCAGTAGTGGGAGTCGTCCTGGAGTGGGTAGTTCGGGAGCTTCTTGTAGTGGCCCTGTGCAGCAGCAGCGTCGTCCGCGAGAGACTCTTTCGCCCCAGCAGCTTCGTGAGTGGAACGCTCAGAGTAGAGGGTCGCTGAGTAGTGCTCGCTGCCCGTACGTTATTAGCACGGGTGTCCGGACTGGTCAGCCTTGCGGGACGCGTGGTCACACAGAGTCCCGCTGCTTCGCCCGTCTGAGCGACGCTTGGCGTACAGAGTTTGGCGACGACGCTGAGCTCCCCGACTGGGTGGAGCTGCTTAGGCAGAGGGTAGATAACTTTGCTCTTGACTATGATGCTATTCTCACTGCAATGTATGCATTGTCTACTAGTGCCGAGGGAGCCTGTCACCT